TGCTGCTGGTGTTGGAGGGGAGGCTGCTGGTGCTGGTGTTGGAGGGGAGGCTGCTGCTGCTGGTGCTGGTGTTGCAGGGGAGGCTGCTGGTGTTGCTGGTGTTGGTGGGGAGGCTGCTGGTTGTAGTGGAGATCCTGAACACAGAGATGCTACAGTTCTGGTGTTGCTTGTGTTGCCGGTGGGATGCTGCTGATGGTGATTCCTGTTTATAAAATCCTCCTTGGGGTTTTGTACTGACATAGGTGCCTGTTCATATATTCTCCCTAATACTCATAGCTACTTTTACAGAAAGGGAATGATTGTCCCAGTATTTTTGGCAAGGTACAAGTGAAGCTCAAAGTAGGTAAGTAAGGGGCTCAGGACTGTACAAGTTGCCCAGAGCTGTGCTAGCAAGCCTGCTTCCACGCGAGCCTGCTTTCTCGTTATTCCTTTTCATGGACGGGCAGGTGGGTCCTACTCCTTGTGTAGAGATGGCTTGGGAGAAGGAGGTGCTCTGGAGGAAGTCTTCCAGCTCCTCCCAGCCCTCAGCAGCAGGGCCCGCCCTGGGCCTGACTCGGCTCTCTGGGGCGCTGCGAGGTCCTCAGAGGCCAGACATGTCCTTGCGTCTAGGTTGCTAATTTTTGGGCTTGGGCAGCTTCAGTGTTACGGTTTATCTAACATTATCTCAGGAAACCCAACAAGATAGTTACACAGGAACTTAAAACACCCGCAAAATAGAGGCCATGAAAATAAGTTGCCTAATTTTAAACTCAGAACTAGAGCAGGAGTAAAACCGTGGTGGGCGGCTCCTCCTGGGTGCTCCCTGCACCCTGGCTGGTCTGGCCTCATGAGGAGGGACGAAAGCAGGGCAGCAACTCCGTGGCAGCGCCATGGTCATCCTCACCCAGAACGGGCTCCGGGTGGTCACCTCAGAGCTGCAGTGTGCTGGCCGCTGGGAGCCTGCTGCCCTCCCATTCCAGACCTGGGCCACAGAAGGGCAAGGCCCTCAGAGGGCCCTCATGGCCTCACCGGGGCGGATGTCACGCCTTGAGGGTGCACAGTGCTTGTGCCCCTCCTGGAGGCCCGGGCGGAGGGGGACAGCAGTGTTTTCCGTTACTTCTGCTGTCCCTGTTGTTGGTGCTGCCTAGTGATATTTCTTTTCTCCTCTTCACCTTAATTTGATTGAGAACACAAACAAACCAACAGCAGATTGCTCACCCCGGCCTGCCGCACAGCGGCTGTGATCTCGTGACGCTCGAGCTGAGCCTGGCATGGCCTCTGCCTGGAGCTGTCCATCTTGACTTTAATTAGAGCTCTGCGAGTGGAGGCTTCCTCCTAAGGCTGCATCCTCGCAGAGAGAAGGGAGACACCACGGCACATTAATGAGGCGCTTGGATGAGAATCCCTCGCTGCCAGCGCAGTGACCTGGCCAGGTGCTCAGAGGCAGCCTTGCGGAAGGGAGCGCAGTCCGCCGCGACTGACGCCCACACCCAATTTGCTGGAATTGCTGCAGGGCTGTTTGTTGGGGCAGCAGGCTGCGGCGGCTTTCTGTCTGTCTCTGTCTCTCTCGGCTTGCTTTCTCTTTTCCTAAGAAAGAACAGTTGACTTTAGTCCTCAGACAAAATTAAACAGTTCGGATGATAGCTGGAGTCACACCATTTTAAAGTGACTGTAGAAAACCTTAGAGACGACGTCCAAACTCTTGCTTGATGGAAGAAGCAAGGCACAGAGGGCGAAGTGATTTGCCTGAGTGCACGTGGCGGGCTGACACGGCCCCTTCAGCCAACCTGCCAGGCTCCCACGCCTGCACACAAGTTTCTCCCGGCGAACAGCTGGCCTCGGAGCATGAGCGCCTGCCCTAAAGCCCACCACAGCTGCAGCCTCGCCTGCCTCAAGGAAGCACGCACCAGCCCAGGCAGACTGGAAGCTGTGCAGCCCGAGGCCCCTCCACCATTGAGGCGCTGGTGCACTTCCAGGACAGCCTTCACCTTGTGAAGGCCCTTGTATGGTTTGTGTCTAGTTGTCCCGCAAAGCCTCATGTAAGTTATGGGACAGACGCCGCTGGAGGAGCAGAGAGTGGCTTGAGGGGCGGAGCCAGGGGTCCAGGGTGGGGCCCAGGGGCGGGGCCAGAGGACAAGGGCGGGCCTGAGGGGCGGGGCCAAAGGAGCAGAGCAGGGCCCAGGGGTGGAGCCAGAGGCCCAGGGGTGGGGCCAGAGAGCAAGGGTGGGCCCGAGGGGTGGGGCCAGAGGACAAGGGCAGGCCTGAGGGGCGGGGCCAGAGGCCCAGGGTGGGGCCCAGGGGTGGGGCCAGAGGACCAGGATGGGCCCGAGGGGCGGGGCCAAAGGAGCAGAGCGGGGGGGGCAGGGGCGGGGCCAGAGGGCAAGGGCGGGCCTGAGGGGCGGGGCCAAAGGAGCAGAGCAGGGCCCAGGGGCGGGGCCAGAGGGCAAGGGTGGGCCCGAGGGGCGGGGCCAGAGGACAAGGGCAGGCCTGGGGCGGGGCCAGAGGCCCAGGGCGGGGCCCAGGGGCGGGGCCAGAGGGCAAGGGTGGCCCTGAGGGGTGGAGCCAGAGGGCAAGGGTGGCCCTGAGGGGTGGGGCCAAAGGAGCTGAGTGGAGAGGGTCCAGCGGCGGTGCCTAAGGACAAGGGCGGGGCCAAGGGGCAGGACCAGATGACAAGGTCGGGCCCAAGGGGTGGGGCCAGCCAGGGTGGGGCCCGAGGGGCGGAGCCTGAGGGGCGGGGCCTGAGGACAAGGACGGGGTCAGAGGCCCAGGGCGGGTCAGAGGGGCGGGGCCAGCGAGGCGTGAACCGTTGCACTGGCAGCCTGCGCTTTCTTAGAGGTGTGGGAAGGGTCGTCCTGGACACGGCAGCGTCCCAGCCTCTCCTCCAGTGTCTTGAACCCTCCAGTGACTGTGAGCTAAATAAACCTTTCCTTACCTCACTTTGAGTGTCGGGTATTTGTCCCACCAACAAGAGAAGAGTGACTGAGACAGCCCTGAAGTTGAAACCCCTGTGTCTGAGAGACCTGGATGGAATCGTGGTCAAGGCCAACGCTGAGGCACCTACCATGTGCACCACTGCGTGGGGCAGGAGGACGGCCACCAGGCTTTGGGTGGTCTGTCAGTGGACACAGAGCATAAGGAGGGCATGCCCTTTGGGGACCACACTAGCTGAGGAGGAGAAAGTGCAGACAGGATCCGGGAGAGACTGTGTTGGGCCGGCATTGACTGGAAAGCGGAATTGCAGATGTTCGCTGAACGAGAGTCCCCAACACCCCCCTTTGTACAGCACTGCTGCCCGACATGTGGGACCCTGTGATGTTTCAGGGTGAATGACAGAGCTCCCTGGTGAAGACCTGCAGACGTCGTTTCCAGGGTCCTGTGCTGGGAGCGACCACACAAGTGGAGGGTTGGAGCAGGCATTTCTCCAGAGAAGACACAAGTGGCCAGCCATCAGCGCAGGACAGGGTGCATCTCAGCAGGTCCTCTGCAGGAGCCCTTCCTGGCCATGAGGCTGCAAGGGTGTGGAGGAGCCTGTGTCCTTTGTACCTTATTGGTGGGGCTGAAAATGGTGGGGCCGTGCTGGAAAATGTTCTGTAGAATTTTAATGCAGTTATCAACTGACCTAGCTATTCTACGTCTAGGTAGAAGCCCAAGAGATTGAAGACATGTGTACCCCAAAACTGGTTCACAGATGTTTGTGGCAGCATTATTCAAAGTAGTTCCAAACTAGAGGCAATTCAAAGGTCCACCAACTGATAAGTAGGCAGGATTAATGTCTACACACCGGGCCTTGGGAGGAAGACACACCCTGACGCATCTGCAGGGTGTGCACCAGAGAACGTGCTGGGAGAAGCCAGACACAGAAAGCTGCTGGAAGATTCTGGAACCTGATATATCCATGGACAGGCACATCCATGGAGACAAGAATCAAGCATGGCTTCCTAGGCCACAGTGGGAAGGGGGAATGTGGAAGGGGAGTGAGGTGGTCGGTGGGATGCTCACAGGATTCTGTGAGTGAGGCAAACCACTGACGGGCATGTGATCTCTATCAGTAGAGCTATTCCTCAGATCAGCACAGCAGGGGTTTGGCTGGTCCCACAGAGGCCGTGGGCACAGGGCTCAATGACACCTGCTGCTGTCCAGGGCCTTCAACACCAAGCACAGCTCCATCTCATGGGCGTGCCATGGTGGTGACTGGTGGTGATCCGGCTGTCACTATTGTGTTCTGCAGGAGGAGGCACCCTTCCCTGAGAATATTTTGGCCTACATGACGCGTGCATCTTCCCTGACCTACCCTCCCACGAGCCAGATCCAGTACCCTGAAGCCTTCCCGCTGCAGACCCTCAGCCGACTCCAGCCAGATGAGCTCAGCCCAAAGGAGGACAGCAGTGTGGACAGACAGCACCTGATGGCAGCCCTGGGCACCTACACAGCTCGGAGGCCTTCCGTTCCGGCCAGAGAGGGTGGCCCAGGCCCGCGGCACATTCTGCACAGCCCCTCAAGAGTGCCACGGCCCCTCTCTGTGCTGGCAGCCCCCCAGAAGTGGCTTTTGCCTCTGGAAGCCCTCCAGGAGCCTCTGGCCACAGGTGATGGTGAGTTGGCCCCCCACCTTGTGTCCTGGTATCTGGTGGGCTGGCCGCCTTTCTCACCATGCTGGACACTCATCTTGCATGGAAGCAGTGTGTGGTGGGAAGGCCACCATGCAGGGAGGGACCCTTGGTCCTCTGGACCTCTGTGTGGGTGACAGGCAAGTGGGGGTCTCGATCCACTGGCTGCAGAGGCTGCTAGAGAAGAGGTGCATGCTCTTTCACAGATGTCATGGATGCATGTTTTAAACATTCAATGATGATTTTAATATTTCAAATTATCACTTCAACATGTAATCAGTGGGCTGGAGAGATAGCTCAGTGGAATAAGTGCTTCCCTGGCAAGCGCAAGGGCCTGAGTTCAATCCCCGGTTCCACCAAAAAACCCAATGTAATCAACACTTAAAATCACTGTACATTACTTCTCATGCTTAGAAAGGCAGGAAGTATTTTACACACATATCACATTGTACCCTGGTTCAGACTGGCCAAGTCTCAAGCACTCCAGAGCCAGCTGTGGCTAACAGCTCCTATATCAGACAGAGCTGCACTAGACAGTAGCTCAAAATAGGAAGCTAATGTTTAAAAAGACTTCAGTTTTTTATTGTTAGTGCTTGTTGATTTCCTTACACGTTTGGGCTCAGTGGGCGTGGTGCATTTGGTCATATCCACCCCTCTTTCCCTGTCCCTTCTTCGCTTCTTCTTTCTGGCAGCACCCCCCTCCCCCCCCCCGACCTTCCACATCATTTGTTTATGGTTCTTCGCATCTAGGAGAACATGAGCTATCTTTTTTTCTGAGCCTGGAGTTTTTCCTTTAACATGACGACATCCAGTTCCATCCATTCTCAAGTTATACGATAAGGTTCTTTCTGGCCAAATAATACTCTACACCATAAGCATATCACACTTTCCTCCTGCATTTGTCTCAGTGTGGGCACCGAGGCTGGCCACATGCCGTGGCTGCTGTGAGATGTGCTGCAGCGAGCGTGGGCAAGCAGAGGCCCCTCCCTCCACTCCTGGTGGCGAGCATGGCCCGCGAGCTGCAGCTGACGCGCAGAGCCAAGTCGCCCCAGCAGCCGAGTGTCGGTGGCAGTTGCTTTTTCTAAAGCCTCAGTATTCAAGTTTAATTGCACTGTTGGCACTTTGTAAAAATTATGTGAGCTCGAGGTCCCGCTTCGGGCGCCCGGTCTCCCAAAGCTTTGCCGTCGCTGCTCCATGCACACTGACTTTAACTTCTTTGAGTGCAGCCAAGGAGTGTTGAGCTGAACTCCACAGCAGCTCTGCTCTTAGGGGTGTTTTTAGAACCACAGGCTCTACAGGGCCTGCTAATTCACACTGTCCCCAGCAAGAGAGAGAAGTTTCTTCTCTTCCCCCTTTTTGCTAGCATTTATTATTATTGTTACTGTACTCGGATCAACCTCAGGACCTTGTGCTTGCCAGGCAGGCACCTATGCCACTGCGCTGTCTCCTGGCCCCTATCATTTTTTAAATAATCTGTGATGGCAGCCATTTGACTCAGGTGAGATGCAATCTCAGAATACTTTTTATTTGCACTTCCTTCCATGATGCTAAAGATGTTATACATTTTAAAATACATTTATTGGCCATTTGTGCTTCTGAAAAAAAAACCTATTCAGTTAGTTTGCCCACCTCTTGACTGGGCCATTCGATTGTTTTTGTTGTTCCTTCTTGTGTGTGCTCTTTATATATACTTCAGATGCTAATCTGGTGGAAAAGGAGCTGGCAAAGGTTTTCTCCCATTCTATGGGGCTTTTCCACTTTGTTAGTCATTTCCTTTATTGTGCAGAAAATCTAATTTGACACCGTCCGTTTGCTGATTCTCGCGATCATTTCCTGTGCTGTTGGAGTCCTATTTCTGCCTGTGCTATGGTTTCTTTTTTTGCGGAACCGGGGATTGAACTCAGGTCCTTGCACTTGCCAGGGAAGCGCTTATTCCTGAGCCATCTCCCTGGCCCCACTGTGCTATGGCTTCAAGTGTTTCCCCTCTGTTTTCCTCTAGCAGCATCAAGGTTTCGGGTCTTTGCCGTATTTTGAGTTGAGTTTTCGCAGAGCTGGAGGTAGGGATGTAGTCTGACCTCCTACGGGAGAGGCTGCAGCACGGAAAGCTTCCTCCCAGGCCAGGCTGGCCCAGCGGAGCCTCTGCCTTGTGGAGACTTGGGTAGGAGCAACCCCGGCACCCCTGGCTGAGCTTGCAGCTGTCCCTGGTCGTGGGGTCATTGGCCCTCAAGCTGCAGCAATCATGGTGAACATAGTTCAGATTGTGTGTGACCACCGAGTACATACACTTGTCCCTGTGGGGTTTCTTTGGATGTTGTCTGGACAGAAAGAATGATGAAAAGCTAACTGCCTTCCGGAACAAGAGTATAGTATATAAAAGGGAATTGAAGCCTAATAAAAAAGTTACTTGGAAATAAAGACTGGCTAAATTACAGAATATTCATGTTTTAAAATGTAGGAAAAAATAAAAAGATGTTTGTTATTTAATTATACAAAAACCAAAAAACACCAGCGTCCCTGACTTCGCTGCCTCGCGCAGCCCAGCCCCTGGCCTCCACGTTCCCACAGCCACTGGCTTAGTCCCAGGAGAGTGCAGCCGGCCCTCGGCACCATCCGCAGTGCAGCGGTGTGGCCCACAGGCCCCATGCAACTGCACCCTCACTGCGCCCGTCACAGGTCGGGTGCTCCCTGTGCTGCCCTCCGCTGCGCGTGACCTGGCTTTCCATGCAGTCCCTTTCCTCAGCCTGGCCTGACCTGACACGACGAGGCTCTGCGAACACAGGTGCAGCCTGCTGCCGGCCGGTGACAGCTCTTGGATGCACTGGCCGAGGCTCACCTCGGCGCGGGGCGCTGCTGTGCTCCCTGAGAGAAGCCTCCTCAGTTGCTGCGAGCACCGTGTTTTCTGCCCCTTGCTGCGTGGCAGCTGTGCGTCTCTTACTCTCTGTGAGCACAGCTGTCGGCAGCAGTGCCTAACTGGAAGGAACGTGGAGTGGCAGTTACAGGGGAGTGTCCATGGCCGTCACTCACACCGTCTTGGGCTTCTCCATGCGGAGGTGTCTGAGCAGGCAGGACTGCCTGCGCGGGCCCCACTGCTCCTGGGCATGGCGTCTGGGAGGACATTCTCCTGTTTGAAGCCTGGCTGCCCTCTCTGACTCCGCCGCCTCTGCACCGCCCTTATTACTAGGCTCTGGCAGAGAGCCGCTCCCTGCCCATGTGGCCGTGGCCTCATCCCGCACACCATCCCAGCGCCCCGCATGGCCTCCTACTTGGCCGTGCTGCACAGGAGAGCCCCCACTCCTGCTGCCTTCTGAGTGCCCCCAGAGCATTGGTGGTGCCCCACAGGCTCCTCTGGTCCTCTTTCCTGTGGCCACATCCGTCCTCGGCCATCTGCTTCTCCCTGAGCCTCCTCTGTCTCCTGCCCTGTCTTGCAGGGTGAAACACATCCCCCTGTTGGTGACCTCTGTCCTAGCTCAAGGAGACAGGAGGAGAGCAGCACCACTGTCTCTGCTGAGGGACTGAGCCCAGCTGGAGACCCCTGGGGAGCAGAGTGTGGTGCACAGTGCTGAGCTCCTGAGCTCCTGCCACTGTCCCTGGAGGCTCCCACCTCTGAGCTCCCAGGCACCAGCCATGCAGGTCTTTGGAGCTCGCTCCAGAATGAACCCTGTCCCTTGGTTTGTGTGATCGCTGGCCGTACTGGTGGCCCTTTCACCTTGCTGTCCTCGTATCTGCGCTGCGGAATGTCACAGCCTTGTGCAAAGCGTCAGGCACAGGGTGAGTGTGTCTTCAAAGCAAATTCAGTCATCAAATTCCTTTGCTGTCAGTGTCTCAGTACTGCTGAGAGATAAGACTCTGCAAACCGAGCCACACAGCTGTGTGGCTGCAAAGATGAGTCACAATGGTGGCATAGCCCTGGGAGCATTCAGCGCTTGTGCGTCCCCCTTCCCCGAGCCCCCAGAGCTGGCTGGAATAGGGGTGCAGACGCTCAGTGCTGCAGGGCAGCTCTGGGCCTCCTTTGCTCCCACTGAAGACTTTTTCCAGAAGCCAGCTCACTTATCTCTAGGGGCCTCTCATCGGGCTTGTGGAGTGGCATCGCGGAGGCGTGACACATGCTCCTCTGCCCTGTTTCCTGTGAAGGAAGAGCAGGGCGCTCAGCATTTGGCCAGAGGGCCACAGGCGCGTTGGGGAGGAAGGTGTGTGGTGCCCTCTGCGCCTCCGCTCGCTGGCAGCCGTGGGTCCCACGGTCTGCCTGGCAGAGTCGTGCTGCACAAGGCACACACTGCTCTGCGAAGCCTGCCTGACCCCAGCGGGAGGAGCTCCGCCCCGAGGTCCGGTGTCCTGCTGAGGACAGCTGTCCTGTGCCGCTGTGTGACTGATGAGTGGCTTCCTCCCCGAGCCGTGGCCTCCACGAGGGCAGCGAGTGAGCCATGCCTCCTCCCCACGCGTGCGCCAGGCCCATGTGCTAGCGCTGCGCTTCCCCCAGGCTCCTGGCGTTCTCTGCCACCCCGAGGGGTGGCTTTGTTGTCAGTCTCTCTCCCACAGCCTCGCTTCCCAGAGGAAGAAACAAGCCTGGAGGTTAATGTAGTGACTCGACTGAAACTTCGTATCCCCGGAGCGCAGCCTGGCCCACTCCCTGTGGCGCAGATTTGCACAGCTTGCATCTCGGCCGTGGCCATCAGTCCTGCGCCTCAGCGTTTGAAGTGGCCGCTCAGCTCCAGCACCACGCTTTCTCGGCTCGCTCTCCCAGTGCTCTGTGGTTTGCTGAGCCTTCGTGGGCAGTGGGAAGCGTGAGGCCAGTCTGTGCTGACCCTGCAGCCGATGCTGAGATGCCCCAGGTGTCTGAGAGCCCTGAGCTGCTCTGTGGGCGGCAGACTGCGGCTGCAGCATCCGTCCAGGTGGGGTGACGGTCTGCCTCCTACGAGGAGGGAAGCTTCTTCGGCTTCGGGTTTGTGTTTCCGTGACAGCCAGCCTCGATGCAGCTGGCCCTGAGC